ACCTCCGGGGCAGGTGGGATCGAACTCATGCGGAAGTGGCTTTAGATTCTCAGTGCTGTGCTTTAACCCGCTGCGCCACCAGGGAGGGCCCGATAAGTGTAATTTTTATACCTTAGTTTCTGGCTAATTTTGTTAGTATTTCCTATTGTCTTATGTATTTTGTAAGTCTGAGGAGTTATTTGTCTTCATTTTTAAAACTAAAAAATAAATATAAAATTTCACCTTTTTCTCAGAATACACTCTTTCTGGAGAAGTGGCTTGAATTTTTTAGATACCACTTCCAAGCTGTTCTGTGTTTTAATTGTTCCTAGGTACCATATTTAGATTTTTATGACCTGATTGTTTCTTTCAAGCTTATTCTAGTAATGTGATTATTTGAAAGCAAGCTCTTTATAAACATTTCTGGTAATGATTGTGAGTAGGTGAAAGAAAAAAAAAACAGTTTTAGCATTCATTACTTTTGTTGCTTTTCCCATCTCCGTGTCAATTTTGGATCTCTGTTACCCCAGCAACAAGCTGTGACATCACAAATGATAGCTATTTGGGTGGAGAGCCAATGGTTGCTCTCAACTCTTTGTTAAGAAACAAAGATGTTGTTTTCATGTAAATGAATTTAATTATACAGCTTGGTGTTGGACAGTCTATAGTTAAGGTTAAATATAGAATACTGTTAATTTTTTCTTCTATTTCTTATTTATGCAGTTGTGAATCTAGACATTTGTTTAAATGGGAAGAGAGCAGTTGCTGAGCTTGGTAAGGGGGAACAAAACATATTGAGGTTATAGAGTATTTAGCATTATCGCTGGATCATCCAAGAAGATGGTCACCCAGTCTCAGTTGAGGGCCACAAAGACTGTCATGACCAAGAATTGAGGGCAGGTGGCGACTGATAGCATAAGTGATGTGCTGTCCTTCTCATGTGTGTGGAAATGGAGTGGCACTCGGGAGTCACATCACGAACTCCTGCCTGTGCCACTATCTTGCCTTGGACAACAGCTAGTTTTGTTTTATGCTTAATCTCAGGTTAAAAAAAAAGAAAACTCGTAATGCATAACTCCGGCAGAGGAAATCAGACTGAATGTATGATCATCCTGTTCTAAGATTTAAGAGCTCAGAATTCAAAAAGCAAACCAGCCAACAAATTCTAAGGAAGAAAATTACACAGTTAAACTTATCTCAAGCCATCTGTCTTTGTGCCAGGGCTTTGTTATATAGCTTGTTTGACTATTCTCTTTCTGCTTGTGTCTTTTTTGCTTTCAGGACTCCTTACAAATCCCAGGCTGACTCAACAGCAGATAAAACAACAGACAATGTCTCGCCTAGCACACCGCTCTGTGTGATCACCAATCGCCCTCCACCTAGCACTGCCAATGGGGTTACATCTGCCACTGTGCTCTCCACTCCTGGAACAGACTCCTCTGTGGAAGCCAGGGAGAGGAGGAGGTATGATCTTGCTCATTTCGTTTGTCGGGTTTGGCCTTGAGGTAGGAACTTAAGGAAATAATCTTTATGTTACAGACAGAGTTTTGTATTTTGCCTCGAGGGATTTTTGGTGGCTATCTCAATTATTTGTGATTATTTAACATAGATCCTTTTTCTTTATGGGTAGAGGTATTTCTTCTGTTTGCCTTAGAAGCCATTCTGAGGTGTATTTCTCATTTTGTGGTGGGGAACCTGAAGTACAGAAAAGAACCTTCTGTTTTGTTCTGGGTAGTCTGTGAATGCTTCTCCAGCTGTGAGGACAAGCAATGATTTGATAAAAGACTTGGAGGAATGGAGCTAAATTTAAAGTTTTAATTAATTTGCAAAGAATACCAGAAAGGGAAATTAATAGTCTGTGATGAGATGGTAGAAGAAAGTGACTGGCTATTTATTCTACAGTCTCTTTAGAGAGAAATTATGAGACCGTAATCATGAAGTGATGTAAATGAGATTTAATGTAAGGGTCACTCTAAGGACTTTTTGATTGTCATAATTAAGAGAACTTGGAAGGTGTGACCAAGGAGAATGGACCGTTTTCTGTCACTTGAAGTGTAAAAAATAGAATGCACTCCATGCAGGAGTTTCAGATCTACCTAAAGACTGACGTCATCATCATCCTTTCTTTTAAGTCTGGAAAAGTAAAGAAGTCTTATCATTTTTTTTTTACTTGACTTATTTTATTTTAAATATTCAAAGGAAGGAGTTTTTGTATTTGTGTGTATATCTATGTACTGAATCAAGAAATTGTATGGTCTATAAAACACAATGAGTTAAACATTTTATTTGCCAATTATTTAAAGGCTGCTCCAAAAACACATTTTGGGAAGAAATGTTGCATTAAAAAATAGTGTTTTTATTTTTCCCTTTTTCTTCTTTTCCTCCCTCTTTTCTTTTTTATCATTTCTTTACATAAAAAAAAATTTGAAGAAAACCAATTTTGGGGGCTAACAGGTTGCAGAGCCAAAGTTGTCATCTTTTTTTTTTTTTTAATTTTTTTTTTTTTAAGATTTATTTATTTATTCATACAGAACTGGGGTACAGGCCAGAGGCTCAGGGGCGGTGAGAGGCTTCACCAGAGACAGAGTGGGGAGCAGAACAGGCAGATCAACGAAGTACACTGCTGAGGGGAGCAGCGGGCGGGTCAGGAGAGGTCTGGCTCGCCATGTGGTCTCCTCCGGGGCAGGCGGCAGGCGGGAATCGAACTCATGCGGAAGTGGCTTCAGATTCTCAGTGCTGTGCTTTAACCCGCTGCGCCACCAGGGAGGGCCAGTTGTCATCTTTTAATTAGCTTTTAACCAAAAAAATTTAATAAATCCTATGGTGATGGCACATGGGTGATTTGGTGATGGGAAGCCCACGGGATTACAACTGAGATGGAAATAAGCACAAAATGATGTAAAAATACACTATTATATTATTAAAAAGAAATAGAACCACCAAAAGCTTCAATAAAAGGAGTGATATGATTAGTTTTATACTCTGGACACACTACAATGTGGAAGACAAATAAGAATGGAAGCTGATTAAAGAAATAATGTCTGTCAAAAAAATTTAATAAATCAATGTTAAATATTTAAAGTTTATGTAATTTTCATAGTATGGTTTCACCTAGAAATTAAATGTAAAAGTTACCTTTTCATTAGCTGAAAAAGGCCCACTTTTAGAAAAATCCTTTAAACTTGTCATTAAAAATCATCCCCGAAAAGATGGGTAAATCAGACTCATAAATACTTTGTTGTATGAATCAGTTACTATCTTCTGGGAATTTTATTCTACAACCAAATCAATGAGATGACACCTGCTACAGGTTTTTATTTGTTTTAGAAGTTTTTTTTTTCTTTAAAGATTTATTTACTCACACAGAACTGGGGTACAGGCCAGAGGTGCAGGGTCAGTGAGAGGATTCACCAGAGACAGAGTGGGGAGCAGAACAGGCAGATCATGAAGTACACTGCTGAGGGGAGCAGCAGGCGGGTCAGGAGAGGTCTGCCAGCCATGTGGGTCAATTCTGGGGCAGGGATCGAACTCATACGGAAGTGGCTTTAGCTTCTTAGTGCTGTGCTTAAATCCACTGCACCACCAGGAAGGGCCTGTTTTAGAAGTTTTATTCAATCCATAAATATTTTTTGAGTACCACATATTATAACTAGGAGATATTTTCTCCAGAGACAGCAAATATAAGAATAGAAGAGTTAGGGCCCTCCCTGGTGGCTCAGCGGGTTAAAGCACAGCACTAAGAAGCTTAAGCCACTTCTGCATGAGTTCAATTCCTGCCTGCCCCGGAGGAGATCCACATGGCGTGACAGACCTCTTCTGACCCGCCCGCTGCTCCCCTCAGCAGTGTACTTCTTTGATCTGCCTGTTCTGCTCCCCACTCTGTCTCTGGTGAATCCTCTCACCCTCCGCATCTCTGGCCTATACCCCAGTTCTGTATGAATAAATAAATAAATCTTTAAAGAATAGAAGAGTTAAGTCAGTGTCTTAATGAATCCTGAGTGTGGAATATCAGGAAAAGTGCAGTTAAGGGATGTATGAGAGAATACATAGGGAGATGTTAAACATTAGATGAAAGTATTTATTATATAGTAGGGACATATTGGATGAAGAGCTGGTAGGCTCAGTCATATGATATGTGTTAACATTCATTCTTTTCAAAATGTTTGTTGAGCACCAGCTGTTACCAAGTACTATGATAAGCCCAGATGATACAGCAGTGAACTAGAACTGGGAAAACATAGGTGTTACAAAGAAGACAAACATTAAATAAGTACTTATACTTGTGATACACACACACACCCACCCACCCTGTGAAAGTGTAGTGTGAGTTATGACAATGCTTTATAGAAGACGCCCCTCTAGGACTCACAGAATGTTATCCTAAGAGTGTGATAGTCAAATTGAGAGCTTTAGGGAAAATAATAGCTAGGTGAAGAGAAGGGGATGAATGTTCCAGGCAGAAAGGAGTCAATTGAAAAGACTACAGTGGGACAATGTTTGATCATTTGGAGAAACAGAAAGACAACATTGTGATTGACATGGATAGTTCGGTGCGCTAACAGGAGACTTGAGGAGCAGGTGGGGCTCTCTAATGCAAGGCCTTACAGCCTTGAGAAGGATTTTTGATGTATATGCTAAGAACCCCAATGCATCATTGGCAGACTTTTTTATAATAGTGGGTTGTTGGGAAAGTGATGACGTTATTTTTTCTATGTTTTTCAAGCAAAAAAATGTGTCATGATTTTTCCAACAACCCAGTGGCTTTTTATTGACAGCATTCATATGCCATATAATTTAGCCATTTATAGTGGATTTTAGTATATTCACCGATAATATGTGAATATCACTTTTAGATCATTTCATCACCTTGAAAAGAAATTCTGTACCGTTAGCAGTTGTCTCCCTACTACCCACTAGGCCTAAGTGACTGCTGGTCTACTTTCTGTGTCTATAGAGTTACTTACTCTGGATATTTCATGTAAGTAGAATCAACCTGTAGTCTGTTGTGACTGGTTTCTTTCACTTAATGTTTTCAAGGTTTCAAATGTTCATCATGCTGTAGCATAAATTAGTACTTTATTCTTTTTGTAGCCTGATGCTTTTGCATTGTGTGAGTATATCTCATTTTGTTCATCATTCATAACTTGGTAGACATTTAAGTTTGGGCTATTATTTATAATGTTACTATAGAGATTCATGTGTAAGTTTTTGTGTAGACAAAGTGTTTTTCTTTCTCTTAGGTATATGCTTAGGAATAGGCCATATGCCATAGAAAGTTATAAGCACAAAGTAGCATGATCTATTTTACATTTTTGTACTTCTGGTTTTTAAGCTTCAGTTGCAGTATTGACTTGAACAAGAGCCGAGCGGACATGAATGGCTGTGAGATGACCAGTGAGATGAACGTTGTAGAAGAAAACTGCATGAGAGGAAGTGGAGGAAAGTGAACAGGGCTTGAAATATGCTTAGGAGAATGACCCCAGCAGTGTGGTCAATGGCATCACAAAGGTCTCTTTCTCATTAGAAACAGGAAAATAGAGTTGAGTTTGCGACAATGAAAGGGAATTTCCAGGTGACAAAAATGAAGAGAACCCAAAAGCCAAAGTCTTTGAGTGGCCCTGGACTGGCAAAAGAGTGAGCAGGCTGGGAGCTGTAATCAAGAACTCATATAAAGCGGGAATTCTTAAAGGGCTGCCCAGTACATGAAAAGGGTACTTTGCCCATGGCCAAAAAAAGTGTCAAGTGATGATGAGTCACATAGACACAGAAACAATAAAGGAAAAGAGTCAGATGAGAAAGAGTTAGCAGGTGCAGGTTCTAAGATATTTCATAGGTGCAGACCAATGTATAAGAGAATTTTTTAATGCAGAACAGAAACATCAAACTATTATTTAGTTGGTAACAACAAGAGAGATCAACTATGATGAAAATAAGCACACGTATAAGTAAATAGGACAGTTAGGTAAATGAATTAGTAGTGGGTCTTAAAAGATAAGATTCTTACAAGAATAGTAATATATCTATATATAGACTCTTTAAATGGAACCCTCGCATGCACACACACATATATAAATCATCTAGTAATCTTTTTTATTGAGAGATTGCCATGTGCCAGGCACAGAGGTATTAAGCATAAAGGTCAAAGAAAAACATCTTTCTGCCCTTGAGAAGCTTAAATTTATTGTTTGTGGAAGAGAAAACCAGCAAATTAAACATTACAGCACAGTTGTTTAATGCTATAATAAATATATGTATACCTTACGGGGGAGGGATCAGAGAGGAAAGGAATCTATATACATTTATGTACTTATTTATTTAAAGATCTGTTTACTTCTGCATACAAGAGCTGAGGTGTAAGCCAGAGATGCTGGGGCCCTTTTCATGAACTGGGCAGCCCTTTAAGAATTCCGGCTTTACATGAGTTCTTGATTACAGCTCCCAGCCTGCTCAGGCTGAAAACCATG